GCGTCGGTGTGTCCGGGTCCGCAGCCTCGTCAGAAACCCCGCTCCCGCCGAAGCTGGCGGAAGAATGTTTCGTGTTCAGACAGCTGGCCCTGCTTCCTGAAAAAGTCTCTTGAATATTCTTTCCGTTCTATATTGGGGGTGATCTCGAGTGCTTGTTAAAACTTCAAAGTGAAGCTGCGATAATGAGTTCTAAATCGTACGTACAGGGAGGAGGGGTGGAGTGAATGCTGAAATAGCACTGGAGGACTTCAAAGGTCTCTGGCGGTGAGGAGTGTTAAAGTTAGCAGGCGCGTCCTCAGCTGCTGGCGTGAGTTTGGGTTTCATCAGGACACAAACTACCCAGACTTCTTCCACTGGGTGGCATTTGACGGTAGGGTTTCTAAAAGGAATCCCCAACCCTGACACTGGCTGTTCTTAGACTGGCGTGGCTGTGCAGGGGCACGAATATATCTGAGCTGCTTCTGAGAAAGTGGGGCTTTGTTGAGTCCTGAAGAGATATTGCCGGTTATTTTCCATTACTGACGGGGAAGAGGTAATCTATTTGCTTTTATACACAGCATTTGCCAGAAGTCTGTTGCTGCAAATCCTGTTAATTCTCTTTTCATCTTTACCCTGTGCAACAACAGAGTTGAGCTATTTGTATTTCAATGTAGGCTGGCTTATAAGTGTATTTTGTGTACCTTCCATACGTCACAAAAGATTCAGCTGAGATCAAGACGTCTTTCTGTAGTGTTTAAAAAAACCTTGTTCTTATATTGAAGGCTCCTTAATTGTATGCATGTGTATTTAATTAAATACTTTACTGAGATGAAATTAGCTCCAAAGTGAGCTCATTTTTTCAGCCATTCTTTTGTTGAGGAATATGTGGGTGGTTTTTGTTTTAGGCTGGCAGGGTGGCAGCAGTAGGGGCAAAAGACGTGAGGAAGACTTGCAAGCTTTTTGCTGTTGTGACAGGATTAGATTTGTAAGGAAATGAAGTTATCTGTATTATCACGTCAGAAGGCGTAAAGGAAGGTGAACTCTTTAAACATTCCCTCTCAAAACACACACATCACCAATGCCATTGTAAGGATGCATGTGGAGTATTTGAACTAATGGAAGCAGGAAAGGAATGGGGACAATCAGTTAACTAAATTTAAAACAGACCTGACTGTCTTCACGAAGATGGCACTGATACTTTCTTAAGGCCTTTGGTCTACTTGAGAAGGATAACTAATCCATTACTAAGCTGGATACAGAGTTTCTACGTGGAGCTAGAGAATTTTTGAGAGATTGAAGTAGGTTACTGTGGTGCTTGATTCAACCTTTTGTGTCTGAGACTTGGGGCATGGTGAAGGGACAATCTTTCTATTTCCAAACCTTAATTTCACTCTGTTGTTCAACAAACTTTCAGATGCTGGTACATTAGGTTTATGTAGAATTGATGGGGGGTTTTCTGGTTTGCATGCTTAATGTAATGTGATAATTTCTTTGGTGAATTAAAATAAATTCTTAGTTTAAGAAATAACAGTTGATGCTTGTGGTCTTTGGTTTTGGTTACTACTGCTGAAACAACACAATTATGGTTTAGTGGCTCACTGAGTACCAGTAGGAGGCTGCAGGTTTTATAGTGGATATTGGACACAACTGACCCTCTACATAAGATTACTTTGTGGTCTTACTGTCACCAGTAAGTTGCCACAGGTGTTGGCTGATGACAAAGTTGTCAACCTAGTGCAAGGAAAACTGGATCAGATTTATTGTGATAATGACACAGAACTAGGTGTATTTTTAATGACAGGGACGTTTTTGGTGCCCACATGGAATCACTTGAATTCTGCTAAATCTAACTTTCAAAAGATAGTAGTAACACGATAGTTAAAAATGCAGTGTTACTATAAAATACTCTATTTACAAAGGAAATCTTTGACATGGAAAAGCATGTTAAACTCTGTGTGTGTCAGATGATAGAGTAAAGCCATAAAACTGGAAAGAAAAAATGTTTATTTTATACTGTGTATGGTGTTATAAGTGATGCTAATCTGACGAGAAAAGAAAACACTTTTTCCTTGCTGTCGTAGAGCAAGAACAGAGATACAACCAAAAATGGAAACTCAAAAGGTGCAGAAAAAACAGTGTGGTAAGATACTCAACATAATTTGTCACTTATTACCTGCATCAATTTTACAAAGTTTTACTAGCTGTGATAGGTTTGTCATGGGTGGTGAGCTGTTGGGGAAATGTTCTTTCTCCATATCAAATTCTGTATTGGAAAATCTAATGATAAACTTTCAGACAGTAAACAATACTTCCACAGTCACTTCTTGTTTTGCTAATATTAACCTACATTTTTGTTGTATTTTAACTTATTTAAGAAACCCCAAATCTTAAAAATGCTTACAAATCTGTGGTTGCTATCCCAAATAATTATCAAATAAGTCTTTTTATTACACCCATATGACTAAGAAACAGATTTTCAAACATGTCTACCTACCTGGGCTTCTTTGTAGGTGCCCAGAAAATGTTTTGTCTTAACTTACTAATATAACAACTTGATTTAAGATTCTAGCTGCTGTGGTAAGAGATTAAGTTTTCTGTAACTAAATATCATATAGTGAGCCTTGCTTTGTTGGATTCCTTCAATTCTATTTTCACTCTGAATATCTGCATGGTTCTGTTTTACTCACTTAAATACCCTTAATGCATCTTGCAGTTGCATCACATTTACTAACACTGTTACTGGTAATTAAAGGACAGAAACATGAAAAGGGAGCGGTAATTTATCAATGGAAATTATGCTCAAATAACAAACTATGGAGAGGAATATTTTTAGGTTAAGTATGTTTGTTGTTTGTGGATAGAGAGAAATGGTGTAGCTCCATATTTGCTCACAGTTTTTTACTTTAAAAAACACGTATTTACTACATTTTTGGGCAGGTTTATTGTAATACTAAATAGATTATAAAGAAGAGCTAACAATTTTTATCAAGTTTTTTGTGTTTGCTCATAGATGTGAAAACAGATCTGAACTTACTGCTTGAATGCCTTAAATATCAGATGGACCACCCTGTATCTCAGAAAGAGGCTTTGGTTACTATTTACTCAATTTGTCAACAAAACAGTAAGAAGAGTTTTTCCTTAGAAAAAACACAATCATTATGTTCACAATATATGTTAAGAAGTTGATTGTCACTGTAAAAAAAAAAAAAAGAAAACCTAAAGATTCTTGGAAGGTTTTAATTTTAAACAGAAATAAAAAGCAAAACTAATTTTTGTTCTTTTTTTTTCTGTTTTAGGTGAAGCAAGTGAATATTTTCGAGAAATTGGTGGTTTGAAGTTTATAAATGATCTTGCAAAGTCAAGTATTCATGGCATAGTAAAGGAAGCAGCTTTGTTTACATTAGGAATTATAATGGAGAGTAACGGTAATATTATTTGTATTTCTGGGTAATTATCCTATCTTATTACCTCTGCTGTGCTTAGTCTCTCTTATTTTTTTGTCTCAAAAAATCGGATTGTAAGATTCTCGGGTCAAGCAAAGGGCAATAGAAGTGCCACTGTGTCAAAGTCTATCCTCAGATTTGGAGAAATACCTTGCTGAATTGTGTAGGTAGCACACCTTGATGATACCAGACGGCTGTACTACTTACCTTCTTCAGCAGCAGGTGTTAAATGACTTGTAGATGGTTTCAGAGTTTGCCTAGGTCCTGGCTGGTTTAGCACTGAGTAGAGGAGAAGCCCTCAGCCACTTTGTAGGCCTGTTTTGTCTCCACTCACCCCATATTGCATGCAACTGAGACTCTAGTTGATAGATTACAAATGTAATTTAGGATTATGAATTGCTTGCTTTAGGACTTAATGATTTTTATTTTCTGGTTTCAGTTTATTGTCAACAAACTTTGTGTACTTCTGCATTGTTTGAAGACCTTATTTTATTTTTAACTAATAAAGATTCTGGTGTGAACTTGAAAAGAATGTCTGTTTATGTCATCTTAGTACTGGTTACCAATAATAGTAAGTTCATTTTGTTGTTTTCTTTCTGTGTTACACCTTTTTTTCTTTCTATTTGCCATCTATTTGCAGTACAGAAACTTGGAACATTCAATAAGTAATATTTTGGTAAAGTTAATTTCTAAAGATGAGTGATTGCATGTAACTGAAACTGAATTGTGTAAGTAGATAATCGCTCACTGGGATTTTCTTAAATAGCACAAAGTGGTTTAGTTCTAAAAATGAAATCATTGTTAACAAATAATGCAAACCAGTAGTTTCTGACAATGTATAATAAAAAACAGACATAGAAATTGCACATTTTTGCCAATGTGTTGTGAGTTTGTATTTGTTTTTTGGGGGGTGGGATATATGCCTAGGAAATGGGATTAGAATGTATATATGTAAATTAAACTTGACATTAAGATTTTGTCTCAAGTTGCATATGTCTTATGAGTCTTGCATGTATTCTTTTTTAGGAAGTGGGCAAACCTATGTCAGAGACACAGGGTGCATTGGCCTGCTGCTACAGTTATTCAGGTGAGCAGTTGCAATTCAGACAGAAAGATTATAGACTATTTAACACATAGATTTGCTTGACTATTTGGGATTTGTTTGCATTGTTCTTAACAGAACAACTCTTTCCACATCTGAGATCAATCTGTCAGATGAAGATACTAATCAGTGCTATCAGCTGTGGTCCTCGGTCTGCAGTACTCTCTGTGCCTGTGTTAACAATCCCCAGAATGGTAAGTGTTGCTGTTAAAATTGTGGCAAAAGTTTAAAGTATTTCTCCAAAGTGACAACAGTTTGTTTTAATTTTTACTGTTATTATATTTCAACTGAAATATAATACTACATTTTGATTGGGATTTCTTTGTTTTCACTTTTCTAGAAGATAATCAAAACATTTGCTCTTCAGTTTTCCCATATGCCAAAGAGTGGCTGGAAAATAGCACGAAGCCTGAGATAGTTCGTCCTATTTGTTCATTTGTTGGTCTCACAGTTGCAAATAACTGTAAGTGCAACTCAAGCTATAAATAGTTTTTTTATTTTGGAAAAGTAAGTTTAATTTGATAGTTAAATGTTTGATTTGGTTTTGTCAATCTCTACAATTTTGCTGTTCTTCCAACTTTAATTGCGAAAACTGTATTCCACCATCTTCATTTACAGTGCATTCATTGTGCTTAAGCCCAAAAATAGCCACAAACTGACTATATTTAGTGATGTTAATAAAAAAATTTTGGAAGCTGTTTTGCTTAAAAGTGTTCTACAAATACAAGACATTATTACATCTCTGAAAACAATCACTTCAGTAGAACTCAGGCATAACGTTTGCCATTTGTATGCAAGCATTAGGGCCATGTGTTCCCTGTAACTATTTTGTATGACAATTAACTACATTTCTTGAGAGGAACGTACATATATGCAGCTTCTGTTGCATGGGTGGAAATGTAGTGATTAATACATGCACAGAAAAAATCGTGATGAGCCTAACTGATAAAATGCTAAAACAGTTTGGAACTCGTATTATACCATTAAGACACTTTCAGTTTGTTTCTTGTTTTTTTCACTCAGCATATGTGCAGAAATATTTTGTTTCTGTTGGAGGACTGGATACATTAGCTAGAGTTCTTACCAGGCTTATGCATGACTCCAGTATGAGCCACTCCAGCACAAAACTTGCAATAGTAGTAACAAAGACTCTGGATGCCTGCATTGCTAATGACTGTGAGTGAAAAGACCACGACTAATTTTTATATATGCTAATTTTAAAATGAGATTTTTCAAGTCTGGTTTTCATGGAAAGGTGGTAAGAATGGATGCTGAAAGGCATTGTTACATATATCCCAGTTGATATTGCAGATTTTTTAATTCAAACAAGTATATGGGGAATGATGCAGTTCATCTGAGGTGAGTTACTTTCCCATTATTGCTAAAATAAATATAATGAAATTTATATTGAAAATTAAAAATAAGATGCTGGTTTTGTGTAAGTAAAGCTGAGAACTGCGTGTGGCAGTCAGCTTGGATCCTGGAGTTAAAGCTCTGTTTCTATAGGCCTGTGCCTAAACTAATAAGATTTGTAAGCTTTGGGAGGCTTTAGTAACTCAGATATGAAGCTGAACAGATACGGTATTTTTGCATAGCACATCTTTACTTTGATTTACTGTCTGGAGAGTGCTATCCTAACGAGGTCTTCGTGCATGCCATCAGATTTTGAGAACCCTGTGAGCCTGCTCAACCCGTGCTATTGGCCGTGATTATTATATTTGACACTTGTGCTCTAAGTGCTTGTGAATGGAAGTTAAAAAAAGTTTAAAAGCATATACTTGCACTTGTTTTGAGCTTAGTTTCAAAGAAGTTGATCTGGGACAGGATTAGATGTCAGTACGTATGTACTAGCAGTGGTGTTCCTGGTTTCAGGAAGAGGTTGCCACCTACTAGAAACATTGGTAGCTATTTTTGTGGCAGATAGTCCATGTGTCAAAGGTTATTCTACTCTTTTGCTCTATTTTAGAGCTGATAAAAGATGTGGACAAACTCAGCAGAGGTCTGCAAAACCTGCACATTGCAAAGGCCTTGTTTGTCAGATATTTTGCCACATCTCTATACCACACAGTCTGGGACAAAGGGAAGTGTCTGCTACGGGGCAGAACTGCTGCTCCAGGAGGGATGTGGTGATTTGAAGTGTTAAAATGAAACAGAAGAGAAGGACTGCGTGGGCCCAAGGCTTTTAGAGGGCAGCAGAGTTCCCTTGAAAAACAGCATTTCATATTTGGATGACGCCTGTATACTTATTATTGTGTTTATTTTTCTTTTTCAAATTACTGTTTATATCATTAAAGTTATATTATATTATTAAAAATTATGAAATTATATTATTAAATCACAAATTATATTATTGTGTTTATTTTTATTTTTCAAATTATTTTTAACATAATAGCTACCATAGGTGGTGTCTTGACAAAGTACCACACTGTGTCAGAGCTGCTTAAGCTGCTGTCCAATGACACTCTGGATACAAGAGAAAAAATGAGTATTATTCTAACCATTGGACACTGTACCGAAGTTTGTGGTAAGATTTTTTTCTCTTTCTGTCAGTCTCTACTGAATTGTTATACACTAATTACTTCAATGGTGTCATTTCGTCAAGACTGGAAAATGAAGCAAAATTCTGTTAAATAATGTAATATTAATACTTAGAAAAAGCAGACTATTATGCAGGAATTCAGAGCTGGGCTTAGGTATCACAGAATAAAATTCATCGAGACCTAAAAACCACTACAAAACATACACACCACACAAGTGTTCTTTAGCTTTGCTTTAATGGTCCTTTATGTATACAGCTTCTGTCCAGTGCTTACATAGCTATTAATTTTTTTTTAAAGCTATGTGAAAGTATTAGTGTTGAGGTAAGGTAAGCAGTAGGTAATCCTGAAGTGTTTTCACCAGGCTCCTCAGGGATTTCCCAAGGATAAAAACATTCAGCACTTCAGTTGGTATTTTAGGGTAGTACAAGCAACAGAATGGGAACTTGTGACATACTGATCATTATTCGTACTACTGTTTTTTCACAAGTATGTTCAGACATGCAAGAAAAAGGGATTATGTTCAAAAACCCTCATCATCCTCTAAATGTCAATAACAAGTTCAATAGTCAGCTCAGTAGGTCATAAATCAGAGAGTTTAAAAGATGCTTTTTCATGAAGAATTAATTAAAACATGTTAATGGAAAATGTATTTCAAATAGAAATATGATAAAACCAACAGAATGGAAGTTTCTCTTTAAATGTCGTCCCTGACAAAATAATCATATTTCATCTTTTTTTTTTTTAATTCCCTTGTTTTATTTAGACAACAAAGAATTATTTTTTGGAAAGTTGTCAGGTATATGAATATATACAGCAAATGACATCACAATAAAAAATTCAGCTAATTACATAGTTAACGAGGAGGAACAGATTAGTTAGATTGGGATTAAACTACAAATTTTATTAGAGTTTTGCCAGTTACAAATTTTTCATATTTCTGCATCTCAAGGTCTACATAAATATACTGTATATACTTTAGGAGTATATACTAGAGGAAAAGAAATACGGAAGCCAGAATGCAAAGATTTTAGGCAACAATTAAATGAGTTTGGATCACTATCATAATTTGTCTCAGTGCTCCTTCAGTTTTCTTACAAGAACTTTGAGCATGATCAAATCATACTGTGTGATCTATAGTGCTTTTGCTGCAGCCTGGGTGTTAGGTTGTTACAGCATACTTGGATCAATGAGAGCGTGCATGAAGCTGAAAACAGTCAATTTTCCTTTACAATGTCCTATTTTAGAAGAAAACCAGTGTGAGCTACTCCAGAACAATGGTCTTCCACTTATGATTCAGGTATTAACCGAGACTCAGGATGAGGAACTAAACAAAGCTGCTACTTTTGTGCTGCAAAACTGCAAACAAATGAGTAAGCTTACTATTACTGATTTAAAAGTTACAGAGATTGTTTCCATCTTTACATTCTGTTGACTTTCTAAATAATTTTCGCAGTAGCAATTTTGTAATTCTCTGTACTCCCAGTGAAGTTTGTTTTGTGCAGGAAAGTTGCATGTTTGCTACCATGGTCTGATTATGGCATTTAGGCACAAAAAAGAAAAGTAAAACTTCCGACAATGTTGCAATGATGCATTTGTGAAATCTATATATGTAGGGCCAGTCCTTGAAAGCTTTCCCATCTATAAACTATGTGCAAAATACTAACACTGTAGTCTAACACGCCGTTGGTACTCTATTCCTGGGTACGTACCCTTATGTATACCGACTAAACCAGTAGATAATCAAGCCCAAAATCACCATGACTACAATTATTTTGCAACATGAAAAGAATACTTTTTTTTTTTTAAATAAGGTGTAGTTTGAGTATCCTCTTTAAGGTTTTTTTTATGCCTTTTTTTGTTTGTTTTTAATTAGCTGTAGAATACTACTAATGAAACAGAAAGACATGTTCTTTAATCTCTAAAGCGTGGAAGTATTATGCAGTTGATAATTAGTAAAAAGCATGTGTCTATGTTTTTGTACTATAAACGTAACTAAGAGTTTTGTATAAGATTGAGGGGGTGTGGTGATTTTCAGTGCCCTTTAATATGGAGTTGTTTCTTGAAAAAAGCAGAGACACGTATGGGTAAAGACCTATAGAATGAGGATTAAGTCCATGATAAAGTTTTTTAGAGCAGAGTATCATTGTGTAAAAAGCTTATAGCAACTAAAAATGTAAGCTCACCTCTTGTAACTGCAGTTTATATTTGAAGTTTATAAACATTTACATGTACATTAAGTTATATTAAAATTATTATTCAGAGGTTGTATTTTGCATTAAATTATCGGGGCTGTCTCTCAGAATACTAAAATATAATAAATGTTTATTGAAGTGTTCATTAAAAAACCTTGTAATATTAATATTGGGGTTTTTTTATTATTTAAAAAGCTAAACAATTGTTCCTGAAAATAGATGATAATTCATTAAATGTAACCAACACAGAGGAGTTGGACAGGCAAGTCAGAAAAAGAAGTCTAGAAGACTACTGGAAGGACGCAAAAGGAATTTTATACAGAATAAACTTGCTTGAAAAAGACCATAATGAGGTTGGCCCATTTACCAAAGTAGGTAAAACTAAGCAAATTTTTCCAGAGCTTAGGCTTAAATAGAATGTAAACCCTTAAGGTTATTTCAGTGTAAGCTAGAAAAGTAGGGAAAACATTGGATGTGTGTGAAACTACAACCTGCAACTTCTACCATTATATCATACAAAATTAGAAGTATGCAGGACAATTGGAGAATATAGACATCTGTGTTTTTATGAAGCATTTTAATTTATTGTAAACCCAGATTTTCTATAAATTTGAAATCATTTAGGTTGGAGAAAAAAAGAGTTGGATTTATTTTTAGTTGCCAAATATTTGAAGCAATAATTTTAATATTTGCGAGCATGAAATGCCCGTGATTGTACAGCTATGAGATGGATGATAATGGAAAATGGGGGTATAAACTAAAATAAAGCTGTTGCGTGTTTTCGTTGTGCTATATAACTATTTGGTATCTCTGGATGTGGACCAGCAAGTTTTTTAGTTATTCAGCTCCATCTTAATTAAATATTTTCATTTCTAGAAGTGCCTTGTATTAGTAGCAAATCCATTGCTTCAGCCTGGAATTATCACTTAGTAGCTACCCCTTCAACACCCTCAGCAGCACTGCTGTCTTGTGGGCTCTTAACTCAAGGAAGCTTCTCTGGACTTTCTGTTACCTCTGGAGTTAGACTGGTCTATCCTAGTTAATCTTGTTACTAGGTTTATTTAATATTTTTATAGAGCTTGTATAGTCACTAACTAGTATTTTTCAATACAGGAAAGAATGCAAGGAAGAGTGTTTGTAGAAAGAACTTCAGAAGCCAATAGTGAAGCATCAAAATGCTATGAGGTGAATCCTGCTGATGCAGAAACTTACATAGCAAGAACACATAAAGAAATACATTTTCCACAGTTGGATGGTCAGGTTCTTTCTCCATCTGTAAATCCTTCTGCACTGAAAAATGAAATAGTTAACACTATGAATCTAGTAAATGCTTCTGTGAGACAAAGTAAACAGAGGAATAGTCTGTGTTCAGTTAATGAACTGCAAACAGACAGTGTACTTCAAAGTCACACTATGAATGAAAGAACTGCTTGTGTAAAAAATCAGTCTATTCAAGTAAGGTAAGTGTCTTAAACCTAAGCAGAAATACTAAGTTGCTTTTCTTTAGTAATTTCCAAATTGAATGTCAACCTTTTACGTTAGCCTTTACTAAGTAAGTCTTTTTCTGCTAGTGAAAATGCACATCCTTTTGGTGGCTCACTAGAAAGTATTTTGTGGAAGTGTTTTTGAAGTCACAGATGACAGACATGGTAGTAATAAAATACCATCTTCTTCTCTGAATGATAGCTTCCAACATTGTATAGCGAGCTAGTACAGGCCGTGTTCTAATGCCTTCAACATAGTGATGAAAAATTATCCATCGTTTTTGCCTCAAAATTCTCACTGATTTAGTAGATCAAAATTTCGGCCATTGGTTTTGATGAAGCCACAAAAACTTCTGTAATATGCACTTCCTAGCAAAACAGCAGTTACAGATCTGCCCTGCAAAAAAGTTGAAATTGGAGTGCCTACAAACTACAGAAAAAAGCCTCCACTCCCTGCTTTTCTCCTCTCATATTCAATTGCTTCCCTGCATGGGAAGAGAAAGAGAAAGCCTTGTTTAGTCATTCACTGTTCTCTTGCTCATTGCTATCACACAAATGTGGCTGGCCAGACCCTGCTCCTGTGCAGCTTCCTTGCATGCATTATATTGTAACTTTGCAGCCACCACAGAAATTACCAAAAGCCTATGATATTTTCCATGCTACATTCAGATAAATTTTGCTTTGCTACTGATAAGCATAATTTCACACAGATTGTTTGTTCTTCTGGACTCTGAAGCACAAAACTATTAAGACTTTTTTTTTTTTTTTTTTTTTTGGGAGGTGGGGGGGAAAAAGCTCTCTTCTTGCATACGTATTTGTGTGACAAAAGGAGTTAACCAAGGATAACCATGGATTAGGGTCTTTGCTCCTGCAGCATTTGGAGGTAGTCAATGACATAGAAAAATGTATGATCACCGTATCATAGGAGTATGTAGCTAGCATAGAAGTTAGTCAGTGTAAGAAAAAAAAGAAAATCAATTGCCTTTTATAGCAATTGCTACCTATACTTAAGGCTACAGTATTTGGAAGAGATTGTGAAAGTTTTATGGGTGTTAAGTAATCTTCATGTGAATCAGGATTGCAAATGAGCCAGCATCCCTTGAAAGGACTGCACTCCCAACGCTGAACAGCACTGCGAGGAGTGTTTATCACAGATCTCCGGTGAACTGAGGCACACAGTGATTACATGCTGGATACTAAAAGCCCAGTAACTTGGAATAATTAGAGTATTTTTTTAAGTTTCATCTTTTATATATTTAATATGTGTTGTATTTTGCCTTTGGAATGTGTGTATTGATTTACAGGTAAATGTATATTGGAAAATGTGATTTTTTTTTTTTCCCCACTTTGTTTACATTCTGATCTTCCCAGTGAGCACTTATTTAAAAAACCAGCAGAGATCATTAAAAACATGAAACAGACATGCACATCAGGTACAAACAGCTAAACATATTTCTTTCTTAGATAATCTTGTTCTTAATGAGATTTTAATTAGGTTTGTGTGCTTTTATCACTATTTTTTTATCAAAACTTATCTATCATTAGATGACAGAGTACATTATGTTTAATGCTTCACTTAACTGTTTGCATAGTTTGGGAATTTTATATTGTGTGCAATTTTACCAGAAGAATATTTATTTTCCTTTTCTTCTAATACATATTTTAGCTTTCTTTTTTTTTTTTTTTTTTTTTTTTTTAATTGATTTTAACTATTCACATGAATGCATCACAGATAAATGTTTTAAGTTCGGTCTGAATGCAGTCTATACTGAACAATGAAAGCCAGTAATAGAAAATGGGTAAGGATCCTGTTTTGTTCTGTTATTGTAAGACTGGGGATAGAACCTGCCTGTGAGCATGACTTGCCTGAAGTCTTCCTACATGTTGAACATGTGTTTAAGATAATTGTTCTTCAGATTTGCACTGATATTTTTAGTCTGATACATTTATTTCAGAATTTGGAACTGTTTGATCAAATCTTCATTCATAATTTATTTTCCTGTTAATTTATAAAATTTATAATTTTTCATTAGATTAGTATTTGCCAGAATGGTAGCTTTACAGATGACTAAGCTTATCTCCAGGTTATACCTATTTAAATTGAGAATAAGTATTATTCCAGCACATTGTATTTTTCAGCATCTGATTCCATATAGAAATAAAGTTTATGGGGATTAGTTAAGCGATGTAAGTTTACAGGGTTGTTTTGCTCTGTTCAAGTAGAAGTAATATGCTTTGGGAGAATGATGAAAAAGCACTGAATTAAACGTAATTATTCTGAATTCACAAACATTTAAATGTGATCCATTTAACTTGAGGAATTTAATTTTGATTTTCAGCTATTACATAAATAATAACCTTTAATAACCTACAAATAGAAAATACAGTTGAATATAGGTGTGCTGATGCATGACTGCCGTGGCAAAAGATGGGTTGCATTTTCTTAGTGGTTTTTCTTCCTTCCTAATGTAGATCAACACTCAGAGATAAGCAAAGGAGAAAGAAGTACTTCAGCTACATCTGCATCCCATAAAATGGGTGATGTCAGGTGTTCAGGTAAGTACTATCCTAGGTCCTTCTTTCCTGAGTCCATAAAAGAAGGCTTAAAGAGATTTTAACACATCTACGGATTACCCATTATATAATTCTTAACTGCTTCCTTTCCTTTTCCTGCCCCTAAAATAAAAACTAAATGTTGAAATAAAGGTTACATATTCCATTGTCGGTCTGTGTACCTTTTAATAAGGGTTTACTAACAAACAGAATATACAACAGCTTAAAAGACAACATGCTATTAGAAGAACAGTTAAGAGTGTGTGTTTTCCTTCTTTCTCTGATTGGAAAGACGGAGGAAAAACTTGGAGCCCTGCTCTCATGTATTCTTCTGCTAAGCCTCCTAACTACTCTGTAGCCCTTCTGTTTTCTCTGCCTTACTGCTATTAAGTACAGTCAGTCAGTCTTACAGTAATCCATGACTGCAGCCTTCAGTTACCTCATCTTCTACTACCTAAACACAGTGTATCAGCAGGTTCTAAGAATGCTGCTGGCACTGAGGATCTGTAAGTGTATTTTGTAATTAAGCCTATGTATCTTGATTAAAAAAAAAAAAAAAAGGAGGGGGGAGGGGAGTGCCATAAGCCACCTTTGAACATCATGTAGGTAGAGAGCTGTCAAACTAAGTTCAACTTGAGCTCTAGCACTGGTTTATCTTAGGCTAGAATATTGCAGTTACGTACCAGTGACCTTCTTGTAACTCCACACTGTGCAGAAGTGCACCTTCAGCTGATGTAACTAACTGTGAGAACATCCAAGAATAACTAAACCATACATTACCCTAGGAATGTCCCCAAAAACAAATACAAAGGCTTTCTGTGAGGAAATTCATACCTAAGGTAGACATTGTTTATTCAGGTTAATACAGGTAACTGTTACAATACAGAGAAAGTTTCAAAGAATAGCAAAACCATCTTTTATATTTTGGCTTCTGGATAAATCTGCAAAGAGAACTGAGGCCCCTTTCTTCCAATCCCAGTAATACTTTCACTTCCCTAGAGGATCCATGCCTCATTTAGTACTTCTGGATTTGAAGTGCAGAGTAAGAGAGCAAGTACAAAACAAGAAGTATTTTCAAGAAGGCGCATAAAAGTGTAACCTCTTTTGAGATGTGTATATGGAAAACTGGAGGTTAAATTGTAGATCATATTGAGCACAATAACATGCTGGATTTTGTGACAGCTTCTATAGCATTCATGCTTGCTGTTCCTACAATATCCTACTGTTTTTCCAGGTTGTAAAGCAGGAGGACTGTCGTTCAACAGTAGAACCTTTACCAAGACGTTGCAAAGTTGTCCGTACCAGTGTGACCATCACGAAGTCATTTTAGAAGCTGAAGAAAGATATAAAAAGGGACTTCGAAAATTGAGTCTTTGTAACAACAGGAGATATGCAGCTTCTGAGAGTAATTATGTTTTTATTTTTTAGTAGTTGTAACTATTGTTTTAAATTGTATTTAAAATTCTAAACTTATTTTAGTCTGATTCTGATTGTCCTGCTCCTGTAAACTCACTCATTTAATTTGATTTAACCATGATTTGTACTATGTGAGATCCGAACTAGCCACTTCTGTTTGAGGATCTTGTGTGTTTCTTGGATGTATGACATTATAACAAGGTAATTTCAATCTAATATTACATATTTATGGATGTGAGAGGCTTATAATTCTTAATGAATGAAATAAAAGTGCATCCTATATTTATTCGGTTTAAAGGAGACATTTTGAAAATTAAGCAGTTATTACTGGCATTTGTACTGGTGTCCATCTTATATTTTGCAGAAATACTGCTGACCCCAGTGAAGAAAGAAACAGTTCATGCAGAAATACCAACTTTTAGGAGTGAAATGGATGATTTTCAAAGTAAGAGCTTGGTTTAGAAGTTAATGCAAAAAAGACCTTACCATACAAATAATTCTTTTGCAGGACTTTACTATGGGAGGCTGTGGATAGGAAATCATGTTGTGGGATTTTTCTGTATATTCAGTGAAAAAATCTATATATCAATAGGCCAGAAAAACGCTATTTTGTAATCTTTAAATTGTGTTATGCACATTAGTTCACAACGAATTTGTCTGGCACTTGCTTTGAAGATAATTCTTTGAATCCTGACAGGGCTGCTTCCATGCCATCTGCTATTCTTCAGTTTTGTGCTGTTAATTTTTAAAATTGAGAGGTATAGTCAGGACCAGAGCACAGTACAGTTCCTGTTCCAGGATTCAGCATCACTTTATTATACATTTGTAGCCATGTTATCCTGTCATACCTGCTTCTGTTCCAGCTTGGAGCTCTGCTAAGGACTTGTGCCTTTGTGTCCTGAATAGCTAAAAGGGTAAACCTTAACGTATACATCAATACTAGAGCAAGTAACTGAAAACAACCTGTCAGAAAATTAAGTACAGGAGATCTATTTACCTGTCCTGTATTATGAGGTGTTGAATAAGAAGTTACTAAAAAGGTAGAGTTGTGAATATCATCATTTTATTGAATTAATTTCTGGTAAAAGCTAGTAGATTTTTTTTTTCTCCCTCCAGATTCAGAAATTAATTTTGCTATGATAGCTATGGAGGTCTCTTAAGATAAATAAATAAACCCCAACTCTGCATTTCATGGCAAGAGCCTACTACACTAATATATTACCTTTAGCAAGTGAATATTCTTTGAAGTAAACTGAATTTTCCAGTCTTTCTCCAAAGACCAGATAGCAGTTTGGCTCAAAAGATGATTTTCTTTTAAATTTTATTTCCTAAAACATTACCCGTGTTTTGTTTTTTAGGAAAGATGCATAATGTTTTATTCTTTGGGTTTTTTTAAGGTATTATTTTGACTCCAATTAGAAAAAACCAATCAAATACTTCAAATAGAGATGGACATAGTAAAAATGATAGGTTGACTGACGACTGTAACTTGATACCTACGTATAAAAAGTGTGAGTATTATCAGAAGATTAATTCTGTAATAAGTGTAACTTAAAATTTTATCAGGCTTTGCATTTAGGCCAGGGCTTTGAGAAAAGCACTGTGCTTGCTGCTGGAGACAAATGGCTAAGAATTAAAATAGGTATGTTCTGGTACCTGCATCATAGTATTATTGATGTTGGAGTTAATTCCTATAACTTGCTGGTTGCTTCCAATGCATAAACAATCCTCGTGTTAATGTTAATGACGAGAAAAAGAGCTAATGAAAATGAGATAATACTAATAAAGCAACATTCACATATTCAAGTTCATTAGCATAAATGTTCCTTTGCAACACTATATTCAGTTTTGCAGTAGATTTCAGTTAGTTTAATGTAACTAAGAGGTGGCCTTGTTCACAATTTCATAGCTTTCCAAAAAAGCCAAGGTGCTAACTTGAAGAGGCAGAGAATCAAAAAAATGTGCAACCAGGAGTGTCCGTGCTTAAAAGAAAATTGTGTGTACCCAGTTGACAGAAACGAGGTTAGTTATGCAAAGGCTAATCATACACTCGCATATTTATAAATGTCCAAAGAAAATCACTGTGAATTGCATAAATTCTTTTAAAGTCACCTTTTAGAGGAGCCTGGTAGCAAAGTGGACCTTGTTAGAGATCTTCCTCTGATGATTCTACTCCAGTCATATTGATTTATCCCTTAAATGAAGTAAGCATTTTCAACTTACAGTCCTTTCTAAATGATAGATGTGGTGGAATGCTTTTTCCTGCATTAAAGAAAATGTGCATGGAAATAACAGAAGTATGCTAAAGATTTGAACTATGTAGGCACGACAGAAATGAAGGTATGGAAAAATACTGTATTTCAGTAAGTAGGTGACAGTGGAGAATCCTTGAAGAACCATTGTTATCTTGACAAAGTGATCATTTCTCTATAACTACTTGTATTGACAGTAATAATGTGTTATTTCCAAATGCAAAACAGTATGCAAATTTACATAATTTTTAATTCCACCAAAATAAATATTTGCAGAACAATGAAAAATATTCCATGGAGACAAACACAAAAACTTTAAACAAGAGAAGAACCCGAAAAGATTTCACAGCTGAAGAAATAAACTATCTTTTGAGTGGAGTGAAAAGAATAGGTAACCATTGGAATGTAATTTTGTGGTCTTATCCATTTCAGAAAGGACGGACAAATGTTGACCTTTCAAAGAAGTACTACAGGTTACAGTTGCAAGTAATCATAATTTTTTTTTCTACTAATCATGTATGCATGCTGTCAGCTCTGTTTTCAGCTCTTGCCCCTGAACTGACAGGGATAAAAAAGACAGGCTATCAGAATTTGCAACCCATGCGATTGTGCTTGGTGTCCGTTCAGTGCTATGCATGCTGAGCACTGGAGCGGTCTCCCGTGTAATCCAGTAAGGGCTGGTGCTTGGAGACGGAGAACTGAACTTGGGAAATACTAAAGAGGATTTGAACCCTCCAGTGCCACCTAGCAGGACACAAAGGATAAGAGTTTCAATTAAGGAGTCTAAATCAATCCCTGTTTTTATTAGGAAGTTGATCTTTCTGTTCAGTCCCTTTTCTGATGATGGTTTGTGAAAATCTCTCTGGCAATTTTCACCATGTTTGGCATGCACACTCTGGACAGGGAGATGCTGCTATGTGGGTTGGGTGGGCAGCATTTCTGCTGTGCCTCAGGAGTGCAGGGCAGTGCTCATTGGGACGCCTTTTCCTACTGAAATGTTTTCTGAAATTTTGCAGTGCCTTATGTCAACATTTGTATTGACATTTTCACAGAATCATAGAATCACAGACTGGT